TCGAGGAAAAGCTCCATTTGGCCTAGCCTAGATCACATAGGTGCCCCTGTAGTGAAGGGAGTGGTCTCCATTTATCAGAAATTTGGCAGAAATACAGGCATAATCAGTGCATAAATCTTTGTAAGCCAGGTGACTTGCCCAATTTCTATTGACTACATATGTTAATAACTTCAAATATTTTTAAAGTTTATTTTTTCTGATTACAAAATAAAGGCTTATTGTTTAAAATATAAAGTTTAAAAAGGAAAAAGGCATGAAAATCTCCCATGATCCCACCACTCAAATGATGGCCCTTGTTAGACTTTTGTTCTTTTGTTTAATGCTTTAAAAAAAATTCCGTATGTACAGTTTTGCTTGCTGATTTTTTTATTTATTTTTTTTTTGAGACAAGGTCTTGTTTGTCCACCCAGGCTGGAGTACAGTAGTCTGATCATAGCTCACTGTAACCTCGAACTCCTGGCTCAAGCCAGGAGATTCTCCTGCCTCAGCTTCCTGAGGTGCACACTACCACGCCCAGCTATTTTTTTTTTTTTTCCGGAGACAGGGGTCTTACTATGTTGCCCAGACTGGTCTTAAACTCTTGGCTTCAAGCAATCCTCCCAACTTGGCCTCTCAAAGTGCTCGGATTACAGGTGTGAGCCACCACACCCAGCCCACAACGGTAATACTTTGAAGAAATTTTGTAATTGACTTACTTTGTATACATATTAAGACCATGACGACTCCATTAAGCTGATGTGATAGTCAAATATCTGTTAGTAATATTGTATCTTAACCAAACTAACAAAAACATAGCCTTTGTGGAAGGTGACATTGCAAAAAGATTGCTTTGCCCCACCCTCTTCCCAAAGCCAGAATCTGCCAAACAAATTTATTTATTATTTATTTATTTTGGTCAACCCCTTGGTCAATTGCATATAAAATGTTACATCTTCATTTCTGTATGCTCAGTCATTTTTCTAAATAAAGAATCTAAAGACATGAATTATTGTCACAGTTTGGAAAAGCAGTCACCAAAGTAAAAGCAAAAAGTCTTGAGTGGGTTTATCCACTTTTGTGGTTTTAAACACCATCACTGTTCTAATGAGCCTCAAGTAAATCTCTAACCCGAACCTCAGCCGTGGACTCCAGACTCAAACTTCCATCTGTCTACTTGACCGCTCCACGTAGATGTCTACTAGGCATCTCAGATTTAAATGTCCAAAATTTACCACCTGTTCTCCGTTCGCCCTCCCCAAAACACACATACACAACGTAATTTCTCTAACAGTTAATAGCAAGTCAATATTTTCATCTGCTTAGAACTCAAAACTTGAAGTCATCATTGACTCCTCTGTTTCTGTTAAAAGGTAAATCAGATCTTGTGGGTGCTCTACTTAAAACCTTCCCATATCTCCCCATCTGTCAGATATAAAAGCTAAAGTGCTCACTATACCCTCAAGGCCCTAGGTGAGCTGCCCCATCACCCCTCTGACCTACTCTCCCTTCCATCACCCCTCTGAGTCAAACTAGTTTCCTTGCTGTTCCTCAAACACAGCAGGCACATGCCCACCTCAAGGCCTTTGGATTTGTCCCCTCTGCCAGGAACGATCTTCCCCTCCATACTCATGCATGGTCCATGCCTCAGTTCATTCAGGTCTTTACACGAAAAAGCCAAAGCAGCTTTCTCAGCGAGGCCTTCCCAGTACAACCTATCTAAAGCAAACAAACAAAAAATTCCTCACTTTGAATTTTCTACTTTATCACTATCTAAAGTTATATGTTTGATTTGGTGTCTGTGGATAACATATTACACCTCTTAATCTTAAAGTCTCTGAACCCTCCTCTCCAATGACCTTTGCCCTTCTTACTGCTTGGGCCACTCATCCCCTTGGTCACACTCTGAGCCCTGTCTTCACCTAGAAGTACTATACTCTCTGACAAAAGCCCATTCTCCAAACATAGCCACCTATTCTTGCAGCTGTCCCTTCCTTATCTCACTACATCCTGTGTCCCTTCATCCTTCCATCTTCTTGTCATCACAGACTGCTGGGCAGTGTAGGGGAAATGCCATTCCCCTGTGGACTGGTGCCAGGGTCTTCAGCCCCTGACATCTGGACTCTGTCTCTACTATACCCCCGAAGCCGCTCTTTCCAGTGTCTCTGGAAACTTCCCTGTTGCTAAACCAGAGGGATTCCTCAGTGTTTATCTTCTTAGTCCTCTCCTCTATGTTGACCTCTTCTTCACTCTTGAGATCCTCTTCTCGTGGGGCTACTGAGGTGCCTGTTACCCCTCATTTTCTTCTATCTCCTGGGATGCTGTTTCTCCTTCTTCCCCCATAAATGCTGCCCCCAGGGTTCTGTCTTGGTGTACATCTCCTTTCATTTTACAAATTCTTCTTGAATTATCTCACTCACACTCAAGGTTTCAATAACCACCAAAATGCCAATGACGTCCAAATCTAAAACTTGGACTTTGCCCATTGGATGTGACCACTAGCATGTGCCTTGGGGGCCTTAAACTCCATGTATACAAAATGGAACTTTCTATTCTCTAATCTGAATTCCCCTTCCTCTTCACTAAAACAGCATGCCCTGTGGGACATGATAGAATATATATTAAGACCAACAGATACTGCCTGTCCTCTGGACAGAAAAGGCAACTTGAACAGTACCCATCGCTACTAATTTAAGATGTATTAAAATATCCAAAAAATTCCTTTTATTCAGCAAGTTGGTGAATGTAAAAGCACTTATAGTCCCATTTTCCCCTTCAAGTCTTGAGTTGCTCATTTATGAATTGTCCTCCCATAGATGATTTTTAGGCCAGGCTGTGCCTGGCCATCTGCCCACCTTGGATGGACAGTAGACATGAGTCACAGAGTGTGGAGCAGTTGTCCAGGTAAGCAGGTACAGTGTATTTCTCTGCATGTTTAGATATGGATTTCGCTTTACTGCAGATATGAGGCTTGCTGTAAGGAGAGGTTGGGTCATGTGTAAAGCTGAAAATAGGTAGGAGACCCAGAATGTCCTCTGAGGACGCTCCAGGAAAGTGTCTAGGTTTCTGGGTCTCATATCGCCTCCTGAACTGTGGGCCCTCAGCAGCGGGTACCAGGTCTTCTATAAATGGACTGAGAGTTTTCTGGAAAGGGAGATGCCAGCTCTGGTAACGGAGTTTCCAAAACTGGCTAAGGGAAAAATAGTCACTATTGACACAGCCCCTCTTGGGTACCACTGTGACTGAGGGATACAGAGTGATCTGAGGGCTCAGGATGAACATAGTTTTGGAGAACATTAATTTAACCTACTCAGTTGGTCATGTGCAAAATCGAGAATTCTTGGTGTGTGGTGCAAAGAAACC